TGGAAGTAAGCTCAACAATTATGAAATAAGAGATTCATCGAAACCCAACTTTTATTAATTAGCTTTAATTTGGTTGTGGCGATGATACCTTGCTCTGATGATTTTCGTCATGTGACGGACGAAAGCTTAGCAACTTTTCACCAGAATCGAAGGAGATCGCCTCGAAAACAGCGTCACCATGAATGTTCCAGTAAAGCTAATCGGTAGCTGGTCAAGAGGAATCAGCCGTCATCTTCCGGTGGAATCGAACTTCGAGTCTCTTCACCAAACACTTTCACTCGAAATGAAAATAAGCTCAACAATTAATGGACGTCCACTGTTGGCAAGAGCGCCAATTTCCAGGGCAGATAGGCAAATTAGTAAAGTTTCATTGAATAGGCTGTTTGCATTACTACATGCAATAAAGCATATACAAGTTGAATCGGAGGCATGAAAGGCCAAAATGGTCTGTTTGGCTTACTTCCATTGAAGAGATTTGTGGGTGGATCTCAACAGAAGACGATGGTGGAGGTCTATCAGCTTGTAAAATTGAATATGACTGTAAAAATGGTGTCCTGCTCTGATGATGCTCGTCAAATGGAAAATGAAATATTAACATGTCTTCACTGAGTTTAGAGGAACTGGCCTCGGGAACGTCGCAATCAAGAATGTTCATTCGGCCAAGAGGCATCTGTCGTCGTTTCTTGGTAACCATCCTACACGAATCTCGCTGCAATACACACTTTCACTCGAAACGGAAGTGAGCTCAACACTTGTAAACCAAGAGATTTCTCGAAACGCAACTTTTCTTCGCAAAGTGGCCTGGACTGCATTTTTATTGTAGATACGAAGAGAAAGTTGGTTTCGATAAATCTTCTGAGGTAACATTGTTAGGATGACTTTCATTTCGTATGAAAGTACATGAAGAAGAGATTCGTTGGTCGATCTCACCAGATGAGGACGGATGAAACGAGTTGTACTGCAGTCGTTCGGCTTTTATACGATATTCATGTTGACGCAATCAACGAGACTTCCTCCCTTGTTTCAGGTAAAAACGTGCTGAGCTTTCGTCCATCAAATGATGGACATCATCAGATCTCGGTTTCATTCTTGTAAGAGTCTTATGTTAACACTAAAGCAAGAACACTATTCGGCTCTATCGAGCCAAAAATTAAAAATTAAAAACCTAGACAAATCGATATAGCGTGGTTTGCTTAATTTTCTTTCATACTGGTCCTGTTATTTTTGCTCGATTGTATGATTATGCATATTTGTGCGTGTTAGCGTCTATGAAATACGGTTCCTGAATCAGACTTTTCAAAGGTTAAATCTCCTGTTCTGATCCGCATTTTTATTGAGATGTCCTTCTGCTTTAAAGCAGTGGTTTTACCTCGTTTTCTTAATTTGCTCGTATTGTCAAGTCTACCTAACTTCACGCCTTTTGTCAAGAGTTCTCTTCCATCATAGTCATGCTATTTTTAGTGTTTGATGGGGAATTTTATACCTTCCCAGACCTGTGCCGGCATCGTTAGTGGGCCTTCAGTTTTTTGTCAGCGCGTCTTTGTAGGTTCCACAAAGGTTTGGAATCACACTGGTCCAGGCAAAATTCTGATGGAATTCGAAAATTTACTCAGTTTAACTCAATGTCTTAGTTAAGGCCAAAATGCTACTTTTAAGTGTTTTCACAACACTTTGCAAACTTTGTTCTGCTAATGTTGTGAAAAAATGTAGTTTCAGTTTGTGCTGTAGAGTCCTCAAGCAGCGATGAGTCTGGATCAGCGAATTTTCATGCTGTCGTCTATATCTGGCGTTCAGTAGAATCACCTAAATCTTTGATGCTGGTGTACCTTTTATTTAGTTTGAAAATGAAGGAATTCTTAAGTTGGTTCCGAAGAAGGATTGCCTTTGGCTTGTGACTGTTGGATTGTGCGCAGAGGACATCGTCTCATCTTCCCATCAGCCCGACCAACGCGTGCCAATCTCTCGTTCATCCTGTGACAAACATCTTCAGAGCCAGATGCCATACATTACAAAAACTATCATTAAAATACTAAACTAAGAAAGGTGGCCAGCTGAAATCCTACCTTTTTCTTGTACATAAATTTGCCATATTAGTGAGTTGATAGGCTACATCATGCCGACCCCCATGCATGTAATTGAGTCTAGTTGAATCACGAAAAGACGATCGGATGTGATCTAGCCTATGATCCTGCGGTGCTGACGCTTGTGTTTGGTTTATGCATGCATTATTTCTGAGTCAGGTGACATGTTCGAGTACATACCAGACCGAACACCAAGTTGGTCGATTCTTCTTTTGTCCTATTTTATCCCTTTCTCCCCAATTCTACCCAATAGCCCAAGTTATATTTTGCCTAATTTCCTACATTTGCTCCTATTCAATAGGTTCTATTCTCTCTGCTCTTTCACACTCATATGCCATTGTTGAATGGTCACATCTGTTCGTGTTGGTCGGGTGTTCCACAGCTTACCCCCTCGTAAGTCGACCCAATGACCAGATCCGGAGGTTTCAGCCGAGCCTCTCCGTTCTTGTAGACAAGCAATCGGACCGAGTGCGCTTTCGGCGACTCCAACAGATTCCGCCTCACGCTCTGGTGCAGCCGGCGCAGACTGTTGATCTCGTCCTTTAGATCCAGTAATTGGTTGCGCCAGAACTGGATGCTGTGTCCGGCCTCGTGAGTGGACAGGTCTACAGCCCCGTTGCTGAGGAAACCGAGACAGCCGAGAGACTTTAGTCCGAGAAGCGAAGCTGTGCAAGAGAAGACGGTTTAAGACAAAAAATACGAAACAAATAGTGCCCTGAGATGTATTCACCCAATTTCGTTTAAGGTAATGAAGAACTGGCAGTAGAATTTTCCCACAATCATATGAGCAGAGCTGACGTTACAATAAATTTCACAAGGCCTTGCTTTACCAAAAGTTGTTCTCATCCCCGCTTGAGCGGACTGCAGCTTCGACCCCGCCTCAGTCTTTTCAACATGCCCAGCGGGAGTCGAACCGTGACATGGCAGAATGTAAGGTCGGCACGTAGACCACTCGACCACATTGCAAGGCTTTGTAAAATTCAACGGAAACGTCAGCTCTACTCATATGATTGTGGGAAAATTCTACTACAAATCCTTCATCACCTTAATCGAAATAGGGTGAATACATCTCATTATACTGATTTACTGGTAATCTCGAAAGTCTACTTACATACGAAAGATAGGCATTGCTCTCTTATCTCTGTTTCATCCTTTAATAGAACTCGCACCACCAAACTGGTTTTTTACTTCAAGAAAGCCTCTTTTCATAGTTGCATACAGTAAGCACACTTCTATCAACGCATTATCTCGTGAGTAATTTTGTGCTGATAAACATGTGTGTTTTGTCATTAAACGGATTAAAATAACCAGCATCATTTTGACTTAGAAGATTTTAAGTTTCTGAACTATATAACCAAATATATTAATCTACTCTTTACCCTCTTATCCCACTGCCGCCTTATCGCAACTTCTCACTTGTTCACATTCCAATCGTCAAAATGTGTGCTCTTTTGTGGCAAACCGAGTGTGGCCTCATCACACTTGCTATTCACCCCACACAGAAAGAGGAGTGATAGTGTAACCAATTTTGGCAGAGATTGACTTCACTTGTCTCTTTGACTAGTTCGTAGCTCGGTGCGGAGAATGGCAAAGCTCACTGAT